TAACGGTTGCAATAAGTTGGAGCGTATGGTTACTTTAAAAACAGTTCAATACTTAGTTCCACAAACAACTCTTTACTCCCTCAAAAAACTAGCAGACTTCCCTCTGACTAGAATTCCTAAAAATCCAGACAGTCCTTTCCCCTTTGGATCTGTCTATTCTCTATACCAGCTATTCTACTTAATAGCTATCTATCTTTACTAACTGACCACTTTTGGCTTCACTAACTCCTCTTCTCCTGGCTCTCCCAAAACCTAACTTCCTTCTTCAACACACAAACCCTGACTCAACTTTTCAAAAACCAGACCCTGACTGAACTGTCAGATTTTTAAAACGCACCCTTACAGGCAATTTTTTTCTGCACTCAAGCTAAGCTCCACCCACTTTCTCCCAGCCAATCACCAAGGCTCTCCACATTTCCCTCCAGGCTGCTCCTAAGCTCCGCCCCTCTAGGAAATGGGTACTCTAAGATGGCTGCCTTCATGCACCATCTCATAAAATGCCTGCCAAAATTCCCGGGCCTACTTCCTGAGCTTTCCCCTGCCCTAAAAGGTAGGCAATTCATCGCAGACCTCATTAGACGGGGCTTACTTTGGTGGCATACACTGGTTCAGCCATAGTTTACCCAAAGTACCCACTGGCTCCCATTCCACGATGCAGAGGAACTTCTGGTGGGGCTCCATGGATAAACTATAGCAGAACTAGCATTTGCCATTGTTGCAGCAGCATAAGAGGCTTCTCGTGTTGCACCAGAAGCAATGGGAGGGGGAGCTGTGTGGTCAATGCTTTCCCCTGTGGGATAGGCATGCTGGTAAGCTGGGTGATGCAGGGCTTGGAGCAACAGGTTCCACACAGCCCTCAATGGGCACCGCTGGATTTGCCATGACCCGTGGCTATTCCGGCAGCCTTTATGACAAAAGTCCATAGCTGGTGGCAGCCACAAAAATGACATTTCTGGAGTATAACAACTACTGTCAAAGTATGTACTGCACAATTAAACAGGAACAACAATCTCAAACCAGGAACATGTTGCAACACACAGTTTCGAAAGCTCTGAATTATGTACTTTAGTCATTCCCATACTTTTCTAACCCTAATCTAACCCTATTCACATGAAATTGCCTTATGAGCAGTATGTTATAAAGCAGTTAACTAGTGTTTTACTGATTTTCTTTGAACTCTTCAATCAAAATAAAAAGTGTCCATCTGCCATAATGGAATAGTGGGGTGGAACATAAGAAATTTGCTATGAACTATATGGGAGTTTCCTTCAGATTCTCTCATCTGGTATAACAGCTACTTTTGTTATTGAGAACTATTAACACTTATTGCAGTGGTTTAGATGGGAGAATATGTCATTGTTTAGTGTCAATTCACAGTTGTTTACTACTGTTTTCTATTCTTAGTTTTTTTTGGCACCAGTTCTCCTTCAAAGTGGTTTAAACGGTGATTCTGTGAGATCAGATTGGCTAACAGCAATTTGTCCAGAGACCTAATGGAAGTTGTGTGAATGAACATCTGTATCTGTATTGTTCATCAGAAAATGCATGGATAGTAGCTATAATAAATGGATATAATAATACCATAAAAACAGAGAAACCAAACAACTAGGTATGCAGTTCTACCCGCCAAGTACTTATTACATCTCTCAAGAGTAATTCCCTTTTAATTTGTTATAATTTTTAATGATTACCTCAATAATTATTTACTTTCGAATATATGGAGATAGCTGTAATTTTATGTTTGTCCTTACATATTTGACAGTTGTCTATTAGATAGCAGCACCAATAAGCACTTTAAAGAAAATGCTTCCTATTTTAGAGTTAATGTCAGTCCTTGGCTTTTGTAAACACTTTAACCACTTTCATACAGCTGACTACTTATCTACAAACAGACCTGCAACTAATGGCTGTGGCTGTCATTTTGAGGCACAGATTTTCATTCCCATAAGGACTCTCTAGAGAGCTATCATTTTTGTTAAAGCTAAATAGGATTCCATTATCTGTTATTGTGTGTCTTATGTTCTCATTTACACCCAAGCAAAGCAAGTGTGAAATGCTGCCAAGTGAATTCTCCACCCGCCTCTCTAGTTTTTTAAAATGTATTTCATACTTACATGTGCTGCAATGGCAAACCATGCTGACAGTGCCGAGCTACTAAAATGATTTGTCTATTAAAGTAAGTGATAATATTTTTATGTCACTTAAATGACTTCTGATTTTCTCTTGAGATACATGCTGTCCTTTAATCACTTCATATTTTACATATGTTCTGTAGCCCGTTGCCTACCTGAAGTGATTTATTAAATTTGGTATATGCTTTTGTAGCAGTTATTCTGAAATTAAGCAATAAAACAATATAGAGATTTAGGCTAATACATATAAAATAGTAGTCTTCTATGATACCAATATTAAATATTTTCACTAATATTAGTGAAGGGGCCATTGGGCCCATAACCAAAGCACCTCCTACTATACCTTATTCCACCAGTGTACAATATACTCAGTAACAAGTAGTTACCTTATGCTGTGTTAAATATTACTTTGGTCAAGTTTGGTTGTTTGTATTTCTTTTGTAACAAAAGGAGAGCCACAGCAACAACAAAAATGTTATATGTGTTAAAATGGAACAAAGAAAGTGAATATAGGGCACGGCTAGAAAAGTAATCTGAATATGGAAAATTTTAAAAAATGAACATATTCCAGGAAGACATGATGCATATTACAAGCAAGAAGGCAAAACAAACATTTTTTTGTGTGGACAAAACAGTGATATCCATTAACTTAGGCATCTTGTAGAATAAACAACAAAAGACAGCTAAGGGTGCATTTAGGCAGTAGAATTAATGCAGTTTGGCACAACTTTATCTGCCATAGGTCAGTGCTATCGGAGATGCAGTTTTACAATGTCTTTAGCTTTCTCTGCCAAAGAGGATAGGTGCCTAATCAACCTACATATCCCAGGATTCTATACCATTGAAGAATGGCAGTTAAAATTGTGTCAAACTGCATTAATTCTACACTGTATATCCAGACAAAGATGGAAGTGTTTTTACCTGTAAACTAGTGCAAAATGTCTTCTTAATCACATCACATACATCAAAAAGCTACTCTACAGTGGATGGTCTAAGTACCTAATCAGCAGGACAAATTTAGTGTCCTAGGATGCTTCCCCCATTTTGGGGACAGAGCCACATGCCAGCCATTACATGATATTGTGTGACTTCTGGTAAAGGCCCTGCATGTCAACAGATTTGCCTCACCTGGCTTTTGTGATGAGGACATAAGTGCAGATTTCCTGAATGAAAAGTCCATGTCTGTTATGTAATGAAACTTCTTAGGATGCCCTGTGTACCAGGATCTGATCCCAGATTATCTGCTTATCTCATATTTTCTGGCAGTGTAGACTCAAATAATTCAGTTCAAAGCAGATAATTTGGGATCAGATTTTGGGATGTTGGGAAGTGTAGATCCAGCCTTAGTCAACATATCAATGGGACTGTTGAACCCTAGTAAGCAAAGTGTCCATTATCCTTTATCCTCAACTTAATTTGTAAGTTCATTACCTATCATTAGTAAAACCTCCCACTCCAGCTGCTAATTAATCACCAGAAGAAGGCCATCCTTACACAGAAGATTCATTGTATCAGATATTAGTTAAAACTCTAAATATTGTATTGCCTATAACAGTAGCTTATTCAAGTGTTGATCAAGTATACCATCTAATGTTCAAGCTTCTGTTAGCATGTTCAGTTCATTCATTAGCCCAGTAATATATTAACTTTTGCTAACACACAGTCACCATGAGAAGAGCCTTATAACTAGCTCAAAATCTGAGAGACTGTGCCATGTCAACCTTTTCAAATTGCCAGGTTGTTGTTTACTTAAAAGGCATGTCCTAAGCTGCCTGTGGGATCTTCAGTCTTCAGCTGTGCCTGACAGACCATGCTGCTGTAATTGGATTCTGTGAGTATGACACTGGGTCAGACTTGAGGTTTGCTTTCCAAGGTTGAAAGAGTAATTACAACGGGAAACAAATCTGTATGTGTTACTTTGATATCTTGGACTCATACCCTATTACAGATTGATTTCTTGCCCTTGATGCTGTAGAAATGGCTGCTTAGCTTTCCTTGTAAGGAAATAAAGAAATGGCACCTCTTGTGTATTGCACATATGATTGCATTACTGTCTGATGTACTTTCTTGAAAGGCAAAGGGCCATTGCTAATCAGTGCCTTGAGGGAATCTTTCAATTATGGAGTTTCAAGAGGTCGGTAACCTCGTTAAGACATGGTTGCAGATCCCTCCCACATTTCCCTGACAACCCATGGAGGTCAGAAATGCAGAGAGGGCTGGAATACACATCCCCGCTGCCCCCTATATACTGTACTTGGATAACATGTCTGAATAGGGTTGTAGCCTAGTTACAGAGTGGCTTTACTTGCAAGGACCATGTGTGCTTCAGGACTCCTTGGACCTCATTATATTAGCCAGGCAAAGCATCCCACTTCACCTGGCATCCAGGACAAAAGAGGGAACAGCAGGGTGAATCTGTCATCCAACACACAGCTCCCTCTCGGTGATGCTTTCCTCATCACATGGGGAAAGTGTCGCCTTCTTGGAGAGGCTCAATACTGGCTCATTTGTAGGCAGCACAACATGAGAGGCTTCCCATGTTGAGAGGGAAGTGTCGTACGACAATTTCCCTCCAGTTGGAGGAGGGGCTTCCATAGGAAGCTCCCTTACGTTATCTGATGGGCAGCAGACCTATCAGTCCTCCAGCTGGAGTAGAATCATCATAGGAGATTTCCCAAGATGAATGTGATGAGGTGATTAGAGCCTAAACGGTTCAACAACAGTCCATGAAAGGGTGTGCAAGCCATGTTCCTCAACCAGTTTCCATGCATCCTTGCATATTTATACCTTATTCTACATCAGTCCTCAACATTACCACTATACTCTAAATAGGATTATGTAAAAACTTCTTTCACTTTGTAGACTCACCATGTCTGTATCTGAAACTGGCCCAAAACTGGTCACGTAGATGTTTGTGAAGACTTCAGTTGTACTGTCTGGTATTTAAAAAAAGAAAAACAAAAATAAATGCATATGTGTGTATTTTCTTCTTTGTATTCTGTTTACAAATATGCTGAGACAGGTCCTGCAATGCATTTTCTTCAACAAACAGTAATGTATTTTTGTCAGCAAATAACAAACAGGTATTTTTGGAGTGCAGCCATGAGTAGCTTTAAAAAAAACAGAAACTATTTATGACCACTGTAAAAAAATCTAGTTTCTAAAGGAACTCCAGTAATGCCTCTAAAATTCTTCCAGGAAACAAACAGCTGGTCATTTATTTCAGTGGGTTGTCTTGCTGTATCAAGGATAAGAACATTGAGAATTCAGTACATTCTTAATTTTGTGTATCATTGGCACTTTTAAATAATACATTGGATATAGGTTTATATGCTGAACACTAAACATTAAAAATATGCTTTTAAAGTCCAGTATAGAATTATAGAAGTATAAGGCGATCCATGAACAGAGTTTGCGAAAGATAGTGTTTTGAATTACAATGTCAGGATTCCACCAGTGAGAGTTGGAGGCCAAATTCTGGAAGCATTTCCCAAAAATACAACCCTTCCAAGCTTTGCTTATGAACCAAGTGTTTTTCTGCACATCAAATTGTGTGAGCAGAATTCCAGTCTTTTTATTGCTCATACATATTTCATTTTAGATAAATAATTTTGCTCTTTTAAGATACACTGCTACTGCAGATTTGCAGACTAAGCATTCCTGGATACTCCTATGACATAATACTTGGCCACCAAAAACATGCAGCCTTCCAACAACAGCTGCAGACATGAAGTGATAGCTCAGTGAAAATGAACTTCAACTGAATATATCCAAAATAGAGTATCTGGAATGTGGCCTTCAAACTAAAAAAATTCAAATTAATGGACAAGTACTAAAGGAGGACACTCAATTTAAATACCATGGGTCATTGGCCTCCATAGATGGTGACACAATGCCAGATGTATGGTCACAAATAAATGCAACCTAGTTGAAATGGCAACAAACTACTGGTATTCTGTGCAACTCAAAAATGTGTGAACAACTCAACGCTAAGATCTACACTACAATTGTTCATCCAGTAGCCCTCTATTGGGCAGGGTACTAGCTGGAAAAAAAACCATGAAAAGTCCTTAACACAAGGGAAATGAAAATGCTGAGATAGACACTTGGCTTGACAGTTCTTGACCATACGAATGTATTTTATTATTGCTTAGTGTTAATCATTTTTAACTGTTTAATTTTTATTGTTAGTACTGATTTTTACCAGCATTTAATTTTTGCCAGAATTGTAAGCTGCCTTGAGTCCCTTTGGGTGAAAAAGGTTGGGTAGAAATGAAGTAAATAAATAAATAAGTAAATGTGCCAAATAACGACATCCATCAAGGACTAGGAATAAAAACAATCAGCAAGAAAATGCAGGAAGCAAGACAACGGTGGTACGGCCATGTAATGAAAAGAGAACCAACATTAGTAACACAAACCGCACTACATTTGGTGATTGCAGGACAACAACCATGTGGACAGCCAAAGAAAAGATAGATGGACACCATCAATGAAGACATGCATGCTCTTTTAAGGTATACCAATATAACTGTCCATCCTTCAGGAGACACTGCCCTAATATACCTGCTGGTCCCAACTAGATTACAAAATCACATACTGAATAATCAACAATTACTAATATAAATCCAGTTGTGTTGTTGAAGGTTTTCATGACCAGAATCACTGGGTTGCTGTGAGTTTTTTGGGCTGCATGGCTATGTTCTAGAAGCATTCTCTCCTGATATTTTGCCTGCATCTGTGACTGACCGGGGGGGGGGGACTCTTATCTGTTTAAAGCAAGTGTGAATGTTGCAATTAACAAGCTTGAATAGCATTGAGTATCCATGAAGCTGCAAAGTCAATCAGTGAGGGTATTTGCATAGAGGTATGGATGAATGAATGAAGCTTTATTTATATCCCGCCCCATCTCCCAAAGGGACTTGGAGAGGCTTACAACAAAATAATAATAATAATAATGTGCATAACAAGTAAAAAAATAAATCACCAAAAATAAAACAAGTCATAATAAATAAGACAAAAAATATATAGGAAGACTGGTATATGTTGCCTGGAGGCATCCTCTGTTTGGGAAGTGTTAACTGGCACTTAATTGCTTGCTGTCTGGGGTTCCCCTGTTTCTGAGTGGTGTTCATTATTTGCTATCTTGATTCTGTTTTTTTTAATACTAGCAACCAGATTTTCATGGTTTTATTCTTTCTGTTGAAATTGTGGTGGGAAGAAGAACACCAGAGAAAGAAGGAGAATTGACATTGTTGGAGGTATTGGACTGTAAGAAGAAATTTAGAAGCACTGTGATCAAAAAATATTATTTTTTGAAAAAAATGAGCACTTGCGGGGTGGGAGACTCTGGGCCACAGGATGACTTTGCCCCACTCCCCACTTGTGAAGGCCGGGGGGCCATGGTTGGGATGAGACGTACCAAAGAATGCAAGTGGGGGAAGGGGGGAATGAAGGGAGGAGGGGTAGTGGGGAAGAGGAGGGAGAGGGGTAGGGGATTACAAGAGACAAGGGTTCACAATGGATCAAGCCACAAAAAAAGTTTTTTTAAGGGAAATTGAAATGATGTCCAATAAATTAAGAATATCAACGCTGAACACCAGAGGTGTAGGAACAGTAATTAAAAGAAGAAGGACTGAAATGCTATTGAAGAAAGACGCAGCGGATGTCATCTTCTTACAGGAAAGAAGAAGAACTTTATTTTTCTACCCTGCCTCCATCTCCCGGAAGGGACTCAGGGCAGCTTACATGGGGCCCAAGCCCAGGCAGAATACAATTAAAATAAAGCAGTAACAATTAAAACAACATAAAACAGCATAAAACAACATAACAAAAATAGCTAGCAGCAACCATAACAGCAGACTAATTTTGGAGGGGGGAGGAAAACCACTACGTGAACTAGTTAAAGGATAAAGTGGTTTAGTAAGGTAGATGATAATGTATTAAGGAATAGGAAATATCATGGAAACAGAGCAAATTAACAATATCAGTTAATATAATATAGGACATCAGATTGAATGACAATTCAAGCAATAATACAGGCCATTTGTCACAGGAGTCATCAGTTGAAAGCACAATGAAACATCCACATCTTTAATTCCTTACAGAATGTGGATAGGGAGGGTGCCAGCCTAATCTCTCTGGGGAGGGAGTTCCAGAGATGGGGGGCCACCACTGAGAATGCCCTCTCTCTCGTCCCCACCAACTGTGCCTGAGACGGGGGCAGGAACGAGAGAAGGGCATCCCCAGAAGATCTTAAGGACCGCGTGGGCTCATAAGGGAGGAGGCAGTCATGCAGATAGGCAGGTCCTGAACCATTTAGAGCTTTATAGGTGATAACCTGCACCTTGTATTGGGACCGGAAACTTATCGGTAGCCAGTGGAGCTATTTAAACAAGTTATCTCTGTAACTTGCTGGCCGCCGATCTTTGCAACAGCTGTAGTTTCCAAACCGTCTTCAAGGGCAGCCCAACGTAGAGTGCATTACAGTAGTCCAATCTTGAGGTAACTAAGGCATGGACCATCATGGTCAAATTAGACTTCTTGGGGTACGGTCGCAGCTGGCGCACAAGTCTTAACTGTGCAAAGGCCCTCCCAGCCACCGCCGACACATGCGCATCAAGTGTCAGCACTGAATCCAGGAGGACCTCCAGACTGCAGACCTGTGTCTTAAGGGGGAGTGTAACCCCGTCAAACACAGGTTGCCACCCTATACCCTGTTCGGCCAAGCAAGTGACCTGCAGGACCTCTGTCTTGTCAGGATTCAATTTCAACCTGTTAGCCCTCATCCAGCCCATCACAGCGACCAGGCACTGGTCCAGGACCCGAGGGGCTTCCTTGGATGTTGGTGGAAAGGAGTAATAGAGTTGCGTGCCATCTGCATAGAGATGGCACCAAAATAAACTGGGTTCGAATGAATTAAAATAGAGCTGGATATGGGGGACTGAAAAGGAACTAATAAAGGAAAATATGATTTCCTGGGCAGTGGACCTGGGACATTCCATCCTGCTTAAGGACTGGGAGGACATCTGGAAAGTCAAAACTAAATTTGCCAAATCGGTAAACATCACAGAGAGCTGGTACAAGATGTTTGTACGTTGGCACCTGACGCCGCAGAGGCTGGCAAAATTCCACAAGGGCACTAATAACATCTGCTGGAAATGTAGTAAGAAAGTGGGCACCTACCTACATATTTGGTGGCTGTGCAAAAGAACAAGGATATTCTGGAAGGAGATACACCTACACGTACAGGGCATATTACAAATAAAATTTGAGCTAAAGGAAGATTATTATCTACTACATTTGTTAGACTTTGGACTTGATCGAAATAAGGAAATGTTACTATATCACCTCTCAGCAGCGGCAAGAACTGTATTTGCACGCAGATGGAAATCAAGCGAGTTGCCCTCGGTGGAGGATTGGTTATGCAAAATAAGGGATTTTATGGAGCTAGATTCATTAGCGAATATGGTATACGATATAAGCAAAAAGAGAAGCGTAGATTGGCAACCACTCAGACGCTATTTTAAAGAAAGGAAAAACATTAAGGTATGAAAAATTTAATGTTGACGGAGGCTAGGAAGAACAAGATATTAAGGAAACAAGCAAGAATTAGTCACCTCGTAAAATGTTGGGAAGTCTAATAGACGCATGGTACACAATTACACAACCCCCTCTAACCACCTCACCCTCATCACATCCCCTCCCCATACCTTTTTCCCATTCCCCCCATTTCCCAGGTATGCGTGGAATGTAGGTTTGCATAGGTAGAGACAGGGATAAACTAGGATTGCTCGCTATGTAAAATTGGTGGGATTAATACTGTATCGAACAACGTGCAAACCACAATATATGTATGAACGCATGTTTATGTTGGAAAAAATGTGCAATAAAAATTTAATTAAAAAAATAGAGCTGGATAAGAAGCTATGAAAAT